TCCCCGGCCCTTGATCCCCACAGCTGCCGGCTCTCACTTCCCCGCCGCTGCGCAAGGCCGGCCCTGGCCCCCGCCGGATCGCTCCGTCCCAAGGTCAGCCATCTGGACCGGCAAAAGATAAAGGCCATTTCACCTGACTATTACGGTGCCTTTTTCCCCTATAAAAGGACTCCCCTTCCGGGGCTCAGGGCTTAGCCTAACAAAAAGCTAAGTCCCCGGGTGCCCGGCGCCATCAATAAACCCTCTTGTTCTTGCATCCAGAGTTCGTGGTTTCGCTGATTCCTGGGTGCGGGTCTTCTTCTACGAAAGTGCCTCTTCTGAGGTCTTTCAGCTCAACTGTTCAAAAGGCCAGGGCCCCTGAGAGGATGCGTAGGCTCCTCTTAGGCACAGCTAAGGGAGTTTCAGGAGCAACTGGGTCATCTCAAACCGAATCGGTTAAGAAAGCATCAGTTACATCAGTATATTTTTACTTGGTTGGGGTTTAGTTTTATCATTTTTGGCCCTATCTGTACAAGCCTGAGCGTGACTCAGAAGGGGGCTGCTGGCTTTGTCCTTGAGATACCGGGAGGCTGACTTGGGCCCTTTGTTCGCTCCCTCAACCCTGAATGTAAGGGTCACAGTAAATAATCGGCTTTTTGTTGAGAGGGACACCTGTGTGTCCTTCTCAGAAACCGAAATTCGGTTGGAAGGCTGGATTAAGTAAATAAGGCAGGAGACTTTAACCCCTCCGCTGCCTCCTGCCAAAGAGTTTGTGTCTCCCTGAGGACGACCCTTCCTGTAAAGAGGTAGACAGAGGATCGCTGGGAGAGCCAGGAAAAGCCCAGAAGAGAAACCCAAACAGCTGCTCCGGGGGTGGAAGGGGAAAAGTTTATTCTAGACTGCCAAAGCTGTCTCCTGGGAAAGCAAGACATGACAGAGGGGAAGATTTTCAGAGTTCAATGGCAAGGGGAGATGGGGGGCTGGTGAGCTTAGGGCTTGTGAGCAAGGACTGAGGGAGCCTAGCACTGACCTTGGCGAGTTAAAAGGCACCACAGTCAGTGTTCATGGAAGAGCCACAGGTTCCACTTGCCACAAAGAGAACGACTCCCCTTTTAGCAAGCAGGAACTTTCTCCTAGCCCCTGAGGGAATGGGGGCTTTTGTCCAAATGTCAGACCTTGAGAAAACAGACTTTCTTAGGGAACCAGACACGAGGCAACGAAATAACCTCAGTCATTTTACTCAGCTGTGCTTCCTGCCTAGACCAGACTTCGTAGCCCTGAGATGCTCAGATGCAGCAAGGGCGGCCCGGTTTTCATTTGGGTGAGCGCACGTCT